GATGTTTTTTCAAGATATATATAGATATATACAAGATATATACAAGATATATACAAGATATATACAAGATATATACAAGATATATATAGATATATACAAGATATATATAGATATATACAAGATATATACAAGATATATACAAGATATATACAAGATATATCGATCTAATCAAAACACCACCAAGCATTTTCTGTGTCCCGCTGTGATTGGTTAGAAATAACGGCATAAGAACGCAAACGTCGTAGAAGACTTGTTAGATTACAATGGAGACCAACAAAATACAGAAAACAAAAAATAATCTAATTTTAATAAGATTGCCAGAACAAGATATTAATGTAATACAGAGTTACCGCCCCTGAGTGATACTTACATTTCTGAAGTAGAATGAGAAGGATTATCCAATCTCTCTCCCTGTTTTAACATCTCTAGAACCTGCGGTCCTGATTTACCAGGATAGGGTCGCGACCCTGTAATAATATATATATATAAATTGTAGTTAATTTATTCATCTTACACCACAGTCTAATAACGTTATATTTAACCAATCAAATCTTATCATGTACAACCTGTTTCTTGAAAACTGTGACAACTTGTGTGGACAGAGAAACTTACAGAGGCTGTCATAATGTTCTACTTACGATTTGGCTATCTGAGAATTCGTTATTGTTTTCAAGAAACTGGTTCTGCATTACAAGCTTTGATTGGTTAAAAATAAAGTTATTAGAATGGAACTGTGGTTAAAAACTCAAATTTAGATTACAGTGGAGATTACAACATAATTTAGATTAGATCGGGTGGCTTCGTCAGATATTCAAGCTAATCATGTTTCCTTACCCAAAGTGATCATCTCCCAAAATAAAATACCATACGACCAAACATCGCTTTTATTACTGGTCCGGTCGTTAAATATAGCTTCCGGCGCCATCCATAATATTGGTAGAGGTCGCTGTAAGATAATACAAGGTGTACAGAATCAGTCATGGAAGAGGCCTGAAGCCAAATAATGGATAGGGGAGCAGGTATCCCACTCAAACCTTTCCTCGAGTCAATTATTTTATGATGTTCATTTAACATTTAAGATTAACACACAGTAAAATAGTGTGGCCCAATAGAGAGACCAAACTCCTTTGAATACGGGTGACTGTTTGTATAAGTTAAACTGTACAATTAATCATATGGACTCAAAAATAAAGTGCACGAACAGCGCAATATTTCCTCCATTCTATTGAACATTGACTCTTCCATTAGTTAATATAGTTCTGTTATAAACCGTCAGTAAATCTAGTAACATGTGTTTATTTAACCAGTTCTACACTCCTGTTATACTTAGCTTAATTGCCTCTGAAACATCCTCGGTTTGTTGCCCCGGTTGATGATCGTAAAGAACAAACCCCAAAAGTTAAAGACAAACGTAACGTAAACGTACCTTTGATCTAGACGTATAGCTGTAATCTTCTCCGACCTTTCTGGCCAGACCAAAATCTGATATNT